TCCCTTCCCTCACGCTGCGGCAGAGCCAATTTTGGGTGGGAAAGGGGAGTAAAAGCCCGTCAGCCTCCCCTCAGGCTGGGCGGGGAGGGAGGGGGACCCTCAGCCCACGGGTGGGTTTCGGCTTTGGGTGCGTCCCCTTGACCCACGCCTTTCCTTTGGCAGGGGAAAGGCTTGTTCGCCACCAAGAACATCCACAAAGGGGAAACCGTCTTCGTGGAGAGGCCGGTGGTGTCGTCCCAGTTCCTCTGGAACGCCCTGTACAACTACCGAGGTGAGTGGCCGGCGATGGCAGCACGTCCCTGTCACCAGCCCCGGCGAGGTGACAGCAGCGTCCCGAAGGAGCTGCCTGTTTTTCAAGGAAAGAGTTTGGGTTTGTCTTGGCACTGCCAGGAAGGCGGCCCCTGCTGCCATTTCTGCCTCTGCCCTAAACGAACTGTGGACAAGTTGAAAACTGCATCCCTTTTGAGGGATGGAGATTTCCATCAACCCTGAAGGAAAGGACCCTGTGCCACCATCAGGCACCATCTGTGTGGGAACCCCAGTTTTTTAGTGGGTGCTAATCCCAATCACACTACCCCCCAGAGTGCAGTCCACAAAGGTGCCAGCGTTCTGCGGAGGTGCCAGAACAAAAAACGAGGGTTGTAAAAGCAGGATTTTAAACTTTTTTGTCCTACCTAGACCCTTCTCTCTGCTGAGCTCCGTCATGGGTCAGCGACACAGGGAACCTTGCCATCATACGGCCCTTAAGCATGTGCCAGTGTTAACAGGGCAGCAGATGAGGGCTGAGGGGTTTAAATTGCAGCAGACATGGTCTTCCCTATGGAGGGAGTGGTAAGAGACTGGTTCCTCCAGCTTGGAGATGGTCTTCTCTGATGGTGTTGGTACCTGTTGCGCTGCTTTGCCCTGGGCACTGGCCCCTTTCCTTTTCAAAGGCTGTGGTCTCACCGTGGCATCCGTCTGTCTTGTTTCCCTGCAGCCTGTGATCACTGCCTGCGGGCTTTGGAGACAGCAGAGGAAAACGCCCAGCGGCTGCTGGGGAAGAGCTCCTTGGTGCTGCCTCACCCAGAGCAGTGCAGCATCCGGAAAGACCTGCACCAGCAGTGTCCCCGGTGCCAGGTATGGGGCTGCCGGGAGGAACTGTGGCCCTGTTGGGGTCGCTGACTCCTTTACAGCATCTAGCCAGGCACTTGTGCTGCCCCGAGATGGGTGTCTGTCTTTCCCTTCTGTGTCGCGATGGCTAAAGAGCTGGGGCTCAGATGGTCAGGGAGGGGGCACAGGGAGGGGGCCTAGGACCCCGTTTTCCTGCTGCTAGTCAATGCCAGGCGCTGTGCCCCTTGCTCTAGGTGATGTACTGCAGCGCTGAATGCAGGCAGGCCGCTTTGGAGCAGTACCACCAGGTCCTCTGCCTTGGCCCGTCCCGTGATGACCCCACACATCCCCTCAACAAGCTGCAGGAAGCATGGAGGTAGGGGACCGACCTGCCTGTTGCTCCATGGGCAGAGGAAGTGGCTCTCCTGGGCTGGGTGATGCTGCCTGGGACCGGGGCTGAGGACCATTCTTGCTTTGCGTCATCCCTGCATGGGGTGGCTGGAGGGTGGTGATGGCCATGAGACGCTGCCCAGCTCTACCTGCTTGTTGGGCAGCAGGTGAATTTGTGTTGGCAGCTCAAGGGTTTAGACGCATGGCTGAGCAGTTCTTATTTTTCTCCCAATAAAGAGCTACAAAGCACTGAGCAGTGCATCCCTCACTCCTTCAATTTTACAGTGCTCCTGCAGATCTCCAGCCTCTGGGAGATCCTCCTTGTAGCACACCTGTGGGTACATAAATTGCTGTCCCTGCTTACAGATGACAAAACGAGCACAGCGGGGAGAAGCGACATCCCTGATCCAAAACTTGTCACAAACCCCAGCTCTCGCTGCAGGCCTGGGCTTTGTATGGGACCCAGACTCTAGTTTAGCAGGATGGTAGGGGATTACTTGTATGCTCAGAGCAGGCAGTTTGGTGCAGGCTTCTCCTCGCCCTGAGTGGTGCTGGATCCTCGTGCAGTGATGCTGCACTGGCCGCTCTGGTGTAATGGATGAGTGCAGGCCTGGTCATATGGGTGGCAGCTACCTCTGCCTCCCTCCAGCTTTTTAATTCCACACCAGCACTGATCTACTCATCTCTTTTCTTTATTCTTATCCCCCAGGAACATGCATTATCCACCGGAGACTTCCAGCATCATGCTGATGGCCCGGATGGTTGCCACCATCAAACAGGTACGTCTGCAGTTTGGAGCCACAGCTGCCGGTGTGTGGTTTCCTCATCCCGTTGTGGCTGTTATTCCTATGGACTGATCTCTTCTCCAGTAACTGGCAATGTTCTGCTTGAATAGATTTCAACGCTGTTTAGTAGTCCGTGGTCATGGAGACAGCAGGTTCCTATGTCCTGAGCCAAGCAGGTCTTTTTTTCCATACCGAAATAGTCAAGAACTGAACCTTTCCTTTGGCTTTGTTTCTTTGGCCTGGCTTTCTCAGTGTTGGTTCTGACAATAAATTACCACCATGCAACTGCTTCTGGTGGTTCTTGCTAGCAGGCTGGATACCTCTGGGCTCAGTGGGGCTTGTCCTGTCCTCTCTCTCTCCTGGCTGGGGAGGAAAGCGGTGTTGGTGCAATGCCTTTGCTTGATTCCTTTCTCAGGCTAAAGACAAGGAGTGGTGGATCAAGGCCTTCTCCCAGTTCTGCAGTAAGACAGCGAACGAAGAAGAGGAGATTGTGCACAAGCTGCTGGGGGACAAATTTAAGGTAAGAGCCTGATAGTGCTTGGATGTGTTGAATCCCTGAGCCTGCTCTCTCCCTGCCTGTGTCTGCGAGTCCATGGGTGCAGAGGCCTGTTACAGCTGGGGTGGGAGACACTGGAAATCCCAGTCCTGACCTGGCAGAGAGGGAACAGGATGCTTGGAGGGCTTTTGGCTTGTGGTGCTCCAGTGGTACATGCTGTCATTCCTGTGGTAGAGATGCTTCTGCTGTGGGGTAGGACAGGGTGATACTTAGCTACTCAGTAGGAAGCTTTTGCTACTGAAATGAGTGGCTTTTGCTGCTCTGAGGGTGGCAGCCTCCGCCTTGCAGGGAAGGACGGGGAGCCTGACTCCTGAGCCTTCTAGCCCATGCTGGGCTTGGCCATCAGCCTGAGTCTGACTCCCAGTGGCGTCTCTCCACCCTGACTGTGTTGCCATGTCCTGCCAGGGCCAGCTGGAGCTGCTGCGGTTGCTCTTCACCGAAGCCCTTTATGACGAACATCTCAGCAGGGTGAGTTGAGCCACCTCCTGACTAGGCCAGGAGTGTGGCAGGACCCTCTGCTTGGCACCAGCCCCCCTGAATCATGTCTGCCTCGAAGGCCAGGGCTTCCCCTGCGACTCTGCCCATTCCTTGCTTCCCCCAAAGCTCCCTGTGGGATTTGAGGGGCTTGCAGAGTGGGGTGCTGTCGCAGGCTGGCCTGGGCTCAGCTGCTTTCTCATCTCCCTGCTGCAGTGGTTCACTCCAGACGGCTTTCGATCCCTCTTTGCCCTCGTTGGGACCAATGGCCAAGGCATAGGAACAAGGTAATAGGGCTTTCTGGGTGCTCCTTGCAGGGCAGCAGAGATATGGCATGGAGGGGATGTACAGTCTGTAAATCCTTGATGGCCTGGGTAATCGCTGGGTTCAGACGTAAGAGAGGGGGATGGAGAGGCAAACTTAAAAGCAGTCCCTCATCTTTGCTGTGTCCAACCCTTTCGCATCCCTCTGCCAGACTTTGGCTACGCAGAGCCACTGAGCTTAGCACTTGGATCCCCCCTGCGAGGTCCCACTATGTGCCGGCAGCAAGGCAGGGCTGTAACAGTGTCCCTCTGCTTCCCGACAGCTCTCTGAGCCAGTGGGTGCATGCTTGCGATGCGCTGGATCTCCCCATGCTGCAGCGGGAGGAGCTGGATGCCTTCATCGACCAACTCTACAAGGACATCGAGAAGGGTGAGGCTCTGAAGTGCCCATGGGCAGAGTCAAGCAGTGGTGTTTGCAGGACCTGGTGGAGTTCCTGCTGCTGGAGACTCTTTCTGGGATTTGGGGAATAGGAGGGGTTCCTGCTGGGGACTGGGAGATCCCACTTCCCCTGGTCCACACGAGCCATGCCTGCTGCCTTTGGCTTGCTATGTGGGTAGGGCAAGTCCAAGTTTGTGGGCAGCATGACCTGTGGCAGGTTGGGGTGGCTGGAGGGCTGATCTGGAGGGATCCTGTGCAGAGAAGTTCCATCTACGTTAAACGTTCAAAGACCTGTTTATCGCTTTTTTGACTGATGCAGCTGCATGAGTACAGGGACAGGCCAGGGAGCACACACTTGAACTGGGGGTGCAAATCTTCATGTACTCCATCCCCTCCCAGTGGGGAGGGAAGGGTGTTTTGGAAACCACCCTCCCAACACCCGGCCCCCAAAGCAGTGCTGGCTGGGTGCATTCAGCATTGATGGGTATCCCTTCGTGCTCGCGCTGAGCTATGCCTGTGGAAGAGCCAGAACGGCCCATACAAAGCTCTAACCCCCTCTCTGTGCTGCAGAGTCGGGAGAGTTCCTCAACTGCGAGGGATCGGGTCTCTACGTGCTCCAGAGCTGCTGTAAGTAACACAAGGACTGGGAAGAAAACCAATAGTGAGGAGGGGGACGTCCTGGGCTAGACTGGCTCACCTCTTCCTGAAGGCTTCTGGAGAAAAGGGTTTATGCTTCCCATCCATGGGTGGGATGGAACGGACGGGTGCTGCCCTGGAGCCTGGGTGCTCTCGACGTCTCCTGGCATCTCACCTAGCTATAAATTGGTCAGTCCTGGTTTGAATGGACTCGGATACGATACAAGCTCTGGGAGCCACGTACTCAGTTAGCAAAGAGACCATCTCCAATCTTGTCTGAACAAACCATTAAGGGAGGGAGCCTTTCGCGTCCAGGCTGTGGGGACGTAGGAGAGGATGTCCCAGCACCTAGAGCTGTCGTCTTTAACTCTGAAGCGTTAATGGCAGAGTGGGAACGAGCAGGGCCTGGGGACTGGCTGCTGGGAGAGCTGGGAAGCTGGGGAGAAGTACAGCCCTGTGCATCCTTCCTTCAGCATCTGGAGGCAGGGGAGGGTGCTGTGCATCCCTCGAGTTGATCCAGGACAGCTTGCTCTCTGAGTGGTTTTTGTGAGTCTGATGGAGAGCCCTGGGCCTGCACCCTATTCTGCTGGACTTCCTAGTTCCCAGTGTGAGTGGAGAGTGAGTGTCATGCTGGTGTCCCTGAGGCAGATGGGGTGGCTGCAGCATTGTGCTGCCTTACCCTTAGCCAAAGCCATGGCCCTGCCAGCTGGAGGCACCAGCTCCCACATGCCCGGGCCATGCAGAAGGGCAGGCACGAGCCCCACGGGCTGTGTGGCGTCTCCAACCCTGCCTCTGCCTTCCCCTTCCTCTGGAGATGCCCTCGCAGCTGCATCCTGTCTTCCCCATAGGTAACCACAGCTGCATCCCCAATGCCGAGACATCGTTCCCAGAAAACAACTTCCTGCTGCATCTGACTGCTCTGGAGGACATTGAAGCAGGAGAGGTGAGACAGCGGGGCCCGGAGAAACGTGGAGTGGTATCGCACCTTGCAGGGGGGCTTCTTGCTGCCAGGGTGCGGTCTGTGTCCCCTACATCCCCCATAGACCCCAGCCTTGTACCTCCTGCCTTGTGCATTGTCCTGGCAGAGGAATTCATGCCCTGTCCCCACGGAGTGGGGGGCTAGACCCCATGTTTCTGCCTGTCTCTCGGAGGGACTGGTACAACCCTTGCTGCTCTGGGTTCGTGGGAAGCAGCTCCCAGCCTGGTTTTGTCTCTCTGCTCACAGGAAATCTGCATCAGTTATTTAGACTGCTGTCAGAGGGAGCGGAGCAGACACAGCCGCAACAAGATACTCAGGTAGGGTCTGCTTGTGGAGGAACCTGGGGGGACGTGGCACCCCTTTGCACCCCCAGGCAGTCAGCTTGGGCTGCATCCCCGCCTCGGGGCCCTGTGGGTGGCTGCTCATGGGCTGGTGTGCATGCTGACATGCTCGTGGCGGGGTGTGCATGTAGCACGTGGTGCTTTTGGGCTTTGTGCATTTTGCTCTATAGGGGGGAACTATACAGGCCGTGGGGTATTCATCTCTGGGTGAGGCTGGAGCTCTCTGCTCTCCCTTCATGTGAGTTTTGACCGAGGATTTGGACCCCCTCTCTTGCTCCGCTGTGCAGTTGGCTCCTGCAAACGCTTGCTGTCCTCACCATCCCTTCCCATTCCTTCAAGGGCAGGGGTTCCTG